GGCACCAAATTGGCTCTGTCAGTTATTTAGCTTGTGTTTACTCTAATTACTAGATATCAGAAGTCTTCTCATTCATAAAGGTGATAAGAGGTGGACTGAAATTTTACCTCTCTGGCAGTACTTTGAGTTATAGCCTAACTAACACGTTCTGTTTGAGTCCAACACCTGCTAAGCTACTTCCCCCCTGGGAGTAAAGGAAATGATTTACTAGAATTCATACCACAAGTTCTGTAAAATTTGAAAGGAGACACTTGAAGTTAGCCAAGCAAAAAACCTATTAAAACTGGGATTTGCAGGCCTCACCGATTCTCTTTTTCTAAGTTCCTCAATCTGCGTCAATTTGAAACAGACAGGTTGTAACTCAGAAAATGGCTGCATCGCGAAATATACGAAACACCTATTGTTCCGGTGCTCCTTACATCTTCGAGTCCTCACTGTTAGAATTTTCTAGCTCTCCCAATCTCCATGGTAACCGTAGATTCGATTTCCAGATTTAGCTTTCTCGGTGGAGACTCTATTATCTCAAGAAGTTTAAGTTATGGCGTTTTCTTCTCGATCAAAAACAACTTTTGGGCTTCCACCAAGAAAGGAGTCTCCATCAGAACTCACTTTTGACTTGAACAGCTTCGTTCGTCAAGCTCCTCACGATGAAAAAGACAAACCACTGAACACGGCTCAACAAAGATTATGGCTTGACATCACTCAACTGGATACAACACAGTTGGAGAAAATTGACGATAAATACAACAGCAACATGTGGAAGAATTTCAAATTTGTTCGCCCAAAAGACAGTGCTGATCGTGAAAGAGGACGAAATTCACTGCAGTACCCAGATGGTATATATATGATTGCAGATATTTATCCCTTGTCTGTCCCTAAACCATCGCGAATCGGTGACCATACTTACCAGAAATTCTTGCAAGAGGTGAAATTACCGCCCACGACACAGAAAATAGTAGGATGGCAGAAAAAGGGAAAGCAAGAAATACAGTCAAGGACGTTACAAGTACAAAGCGAATGTCGTGCACCGCCATTAGACTGGGAGGGAAATATTTTACCCCCAGCAAAATACAAAAGATATCCACGAATGGAAACTTTACTGTCGCCGGATCAATTCGTTGCGTTTTATCCGTCCTACAGTTCACCATTTCCGAGGAAAATACCCTCGATGCCATCGAGTTCGCTTTACTCTCTGTCTAGACAAGGAACTCCATGGCATTATGGATTACGGGTTAGAAGGCCTCAATACGATGGAGGCGTTGGATAGTGGATAGCTTACGAACGAATAAACGGCTCATGCATATGCGCCAAGATTCCATACAGGTGTTGATTGACAGCAGAAGGCAGAACAAAGTTAAAGAGGATTTGATTACGGCGATGGTAGTTACAGTGAAGACAAGGAATAACGTCAAACATCGATTGACAGATACCTCTCCCTCTCTGGAAAACACTTCCTTTATTAGCAGACAATAAGGGGGTTTGCCATAGATCCACAACTGGCAGGCCAGATTACTCCATTCAGAGAGACAATTCCATCACTAATCAGAGCAGATCAGTCAATTTCTAACTAACATCCACAATTAAAAATGATTTATTATTTATTATATTATTGAAAACAATTTAGTGGCCAGTGTTAATTTTAAAATCATTCAATTTGGATCAATGGTGTGTACACTTGAGCGATGTCCCTCATAGAGTATGATGAACCACATCTTGTAACTCTTTCTCCAATCAGGATAGCCTAAGTGTAGCCATACCCTCCTCCCTTAGGAGAAATGAAAGAGAGGGTTCCTTCCCTTCTGCTTCTCCTTGGGGGAAGGGGAGGAGGAAATGGTAAAGCTACAGGTAAGCTTCAATAAGGATGGCTGTATAAAGGATTTTGACAACCCAAAGTTCAAGCTGTTAACAGCCCACAGATGAACAAGATAAACTAACAGCATTGGTAAACTGTGAAGAAAATGCTTCTGTGAGCAGTAGCAAGACGATTATCTTGTGAGGATCACTAAAGCCATAGTCCTTAATAGTTTGGGTAATGTTGTTCTCCTTGCCTGAAAGGAACTGAGGAACAGTTGCCACAGTTTAGTTCTTTACACTAACATTTTTGTGCATCTCAGAATGATCCTGATTTTTTCATTGGGAGAAGGGAATAAAAATCTTCACAGATTAGTTTCATGCAAAATAGTCATCACATTATCACAGAGTACAACTCTAGTTTATTTAAGGATTCTGAGTGGTGACTAAAAAATGTCTGCACAGAATATAGGAGAGAAAATGGTTGTCCTCAATTCTGCAATCCATCTCAATATTACAAAGAATTAAGTTATTTACATTGTTGGCCTCCAAGCTTAGTATTTGTCAAAATCACTTTTAGGTTCATCATAGCTGAACATACAAACACATAACATCAGTGAAAAAAAAGATTGGCAAAATCTGTATTTATAGCTTACTTTTTTTCAATTCAGTATTTATCATCTGGGAATAAATCTAACATTTTACTACAACTGTTACAAGTTGTAAAAGTTTCTTGTTTAGTTAAAATTGAAGATCAGAAATTAAAGATTTCTGGTTTCTTCTCAGGAATTCACCTTTAAATACAAAAGTACTGGGTGAAGTAATTACTCTGATGCTAAAAAAGGAGATTAACCTGTACATCAAACTCCAAAATGTTCTTTGATAGCTTCTATTAGATCAGCCTTTTTTGAGCCACATTTGATGCCAGCTGCTTTAACAAAGTCTTTAAGCACTGGGACAGTGAGCTTGGAAAGCTGAAAACATGAAACACAAGTTTGAGTTACATTAAATTTTTAGGATTTGTAATACTTTGAAGTTTCTGCAGTCTTGAAATCCTCAGTTTTGCTAACACAAGAACAAAGCACAAAACAATCTAAAGAATTAACTGTCAGACTGCCATGCGAAGGTCAAGGGTTAAAGCTACAGACTGGACAAACACTAAGGGTCTCATAATAACTGAAGAGAATATGCTGCCTTTCCTATGACATCTACAAATATTTTGATGTTCTAGTTTTCACAGGTAAGGAAGATAAATTGTAGGCCTTGTCTGCTACATGTTCTCAGTGCTGGTTAGCAGAGGACATTAAAGAACCCACACACTTCTCACAAAGAGTAGGGAACAAAGCTGTTGGTGTTGAAGTCTGGCCTTGATTTTGAAATTGGGGGCATCTTCAAAAATTTCCTTAGAAAACTGTGAACTGCTCAATGGAGTCTAAACAAAGTCTCCAAGAAAGTGTTGTAAAGAACCATGGGTTTATCCATATGGCATTACAGAAATCAATCATTATTATCATTATCATTATTACAACTACTGGCACTCACTCTGCCTTGCTGTGCCTCTTCTCGCATGTTAACTTCAACCCCATCTCCTGCTTTAGTTCTTTTGGCAGCACCTCCTGATGAATCCACAGCCTAAACAATTAAATCCAAGCAAATAGTTAGGGTAATGTAGTGGTCCACTAAAAAAACTGTGTTGATCATTAACCCTTAAACTCCGATGATCTCATTAGTAGTTCTCCTAACTGTTTGCCATACTGTTCTTGTGATGTTAGTTTGGCGAATTTGGTATTGGATCAACTTATAATCTCCTAACTTACATTTTTCTTTATTCTCATCACTTGTCTCTTTGATATTGTATTGACATTGTAAGGAGAAATTCTCTCTTGGTCACTTGTGGGGGTGAAAGGGTTGATTAACTCAATAATTTGGTACTATCAACTGAGTTGATGATGTAAATTAGCACAGTAAAGAGTTGCTAATACTGACATTTTTAGTGTTAGCTCTTTCTCAAAGTGAAGGGCTAACAAAGGGCTCTGACAAAGGACTACTGCTTGAAATATCAGCTTTGAAAACTCTTTATAATGGCCAATTTACCTTATCAACTCAGTTGATAAACCAAATTATCTTTTTACCCCTCTCCTCTACTAACTATGCCCTCACTGACACAACACCACAGTTTCTCTATAAAATTGCTTCTTAGTTCGTTACTTAACCTGGTTTGTTTTCAGGTGTGTTTCTTTTTACCACCTTTCTACAGCTGGAGTGAGTGAGAATCTGTGAGGGTAGAACATTTTTCAAATTGTTTCATACCTTTCTCTTTGGTGCAGGTTTGGCATCTGGATTATAATCATCAGGAAAAACTACATCTTTAAACTCTTTTATGGCTTCCCCGGCTTGGCGATCAATGGATTCTACCTTTGGTTCTACAGAGAAACATTTAATTCAACTGTTAATGAAGTATTGAAAGCTTAGAAGTGTTTCTTACTCTCTCAATTTGAGGGCTGCACTTTCCACACCACCTTCCTAGTGCACTTAAAAACAGTAACTTCGTCCAGGGAAATTGGTATTAATTTTTTGCAATTCAATCCTAATTCCATTGCATCCCTTGTAGTTTCACATTTATAATTGGTATGTTATCAAAAACATAAGTTATCTTAGTGTAATGGGTTTAGAAAATGTTTGACTCTTATACTAAAAATTTTAAACAATCCAAATTAAAACAATAAATCATTTACTTGATGACTTACTTGTCTTCTACTGTGAGAATAAATCAATATGAGAGTAATAATTCACCTGTTAAGTCAATAACCTCTTCAGGCTCATCTCTATCCAAAGCTAATGCCTCCAGGTTCTTGTAATGTTTCTGTAGGGCTGTAAATAAGTGAACCCTTTAACTCACAGAGGTGGTTAACACGTAACTTCTCCCTATGGCATCCATACATTATCCAGCAAAAAAGTAATGAGAATATGCAAACTTATCAGGTAAAAGTTGCTATGATTTTGATTTAACACCAAATTCTTGTACCTTATTTACAAGGACATGTGTAGCAGGTAGAGCAGAGAATACACATTTGGGAGTTAATGAGTTAAATAATATTAATTTATATTAAAAAACACAACAACAACAACAACAGCAACAAAAAAAGCAGAACATACAATTTAGAGGAACCTCTAACTGTGCCCACTAAGCAAGAGGCCATCCATTGTCGATAACATTATTATGCGATGTTGTAAAGATTTGATTGGTCAAAAGTTCCGTTACATTGCCTCAAACAAAAAAAGAACGAATACCAATGACAAAATGTTAAAAGTCAAAATTCCTATTATTTACTTTATAATTGCATGAAGACCACTAATTTGAACGCTTACTAGGATTCTCAAAATTTGAGCAATCAAATCCCAATGTGAGTTTCTTGATCATTTCCTTGGCTTTATTCACTTGTTCTGTAGTGGCTGAAATTAAAGAAATAACAAAAGTGCTAAATTTAGGCTACATGATTATTATACTGTAATAATACTTATCACCAGTAATAATCATGGATTAGAAAAATGTGCTCTATCTCTAATAAAACAATACTTTTTCATCACAGTACTAATTGCCAAGAAATATTTGGGAACTTTTCTTCACTTTTATCATTTTATTTATTATATTGATACACAATATTGCAACAAATGTAAATATAAGAGGTGAAAAGGTGACATGGAAAAGAAACCTTGAGGCTCGTAGAACAATACTGTGTGGTTCAAATCTCAAGTAAAAATCACCCTGATGCCTGTAGGTTGTAACCTTTACCATAAAAAAAATATCTTCTCAGTAGGTTTTTTTGACTTTGTTTCAATTCTGACAAACCCTGATACCTTTAGGAGTTTCCTCATATTTCAATTTCCTAAGATCATCAGTGAATGGAAGAAAAATTAGATGAAATCCAGGAGGGGTAATTTGGTTGTTATGCTTATCCAGTTCTTCTTCCTGTAACATAAACACATGACAATCAAAAAAATCAAGAAATGCAATGATCCTCTCAGCTGTGCTGCAATTTAAACTATGCAGTTTAGAAGCTCGGAAAACTTAAGGCTTCAACAGGATTGGAACTATACCTCCCAGATATTAATTTTGTACTATTACAATCTGAGCTACAAAGCCTCATGTTGGGAGCAAGTTAAAATTTTTTAAAGGGTTCCTCTTTCCCTCAGAGGAATCTGATCATAATTTCAAATGGGATAAATGTCACTTGACCTGCAGACAAAAAGCAAGTTAAAAGGGTGAATTTTTTCAGGTCAAATGAAATTTATATCATTTCAAATTGTGAACAATTGATGATGGTGTTCAAAAAAGAAATTAATGTCCCACCCAAAGATAATTTTCTTCTTTGTGAGGTACATGTATTATAGTTAATTAATCGCCAGAGCAATTCTCACCTGTGGGAGTAGAGCTACAAATCTTGGAGCAGTATTGGCCCTTGGAATCAACCGGCATATTGGAATCACATCTCTAGCAAGACTTCTGTTAAGAAGTGCAGAGAACAATGTTGTACTCCCAGAAATATTCTGAAAATAGAGTTGAAAAAAAAAACATTCTTGTCAACATTCTGTGCTTTAATATTTCAAGAGAAATAAGTGTTTATCATTACTACATCTGTGCAGCCAAATTTACAAAAAATGTTATTTCACGACCTTTTCATTGGGATAAAGAAACTGTGCTGGTCTGAGGTGAAAATAGTTCTTCAGTGATGACCTTGGTTTGAACCCCATTAAGAGAAGACCTGAAAAAGTTTGTGAAGGAGAAAGAAAGGATGCAAGAATCAGAAATTACAAGCCACAATTATAACTCTCAGTTAGTACATGCACTATTATTGGTCAATTTAGCGGGCCATATTTCACTGTATGGCCCACTAAATTCAAAAGTTTATTTGAATTGGAATCTTCCCTCTCTGTTTGAGCCCACAAATATAATTATTATCTCATTAACCCTTTACACCCTAAGATCAGTGAACATATTATTCGTCGCACAGTTCTTTATACATTTCCTAGGTGCTGACAAGGAGAATTTGTTTGCCAATCAAAAGATTCCTTCCAAGTGACCATTTCCTTCATTCTCATGACCTTAATGTGTGATTCAGGAGTGATATTGTAGGGAGAAATTGGATGCTTGTCACTCTTAAGGTGTAAAGGGTTAACCTCCTTTTCTAATTCCACACAGTAAGTGATGGAGCCTCCTTTTTTCTGCTTTGATTTATGGCCCAAGCACAAAACATGCAGGCCATAATCAGAGATGAAAAAACTTGATCCATAACTTATAATAGGGACCTCAAACTTGATTTTGCTTAGTAAGAGGTATTTAGAGCAGTCTTGCCAGTGGAAGCAAGTTTCTAGTATATGCAGGTTGGAAATTTGTAACTGAAATTACCTGGGCTGCCAAAGCTTTTCATTTCTGCCACCTCCTCTTTCTCAAAGATAACCTGAAATTCAGTAATTGGACTAAAACCCATTGCACAAATATAACGATGATAAAACAAAGCAGTGTATTGCAATGTCTAGTTGATAATAATTTCTTGAAGTAATAAACAAAATTCCCTTTTTTTTTAAACAATTGTTAATCCAACCCCCCCCAAGAAAAAAACAAACAAACCAAAAAAACAAAACCCAAAATTCACATACTTTTTCACCTCCAAACATCTGATAAAGCTTTATATCTGTTGGCATTAGATCT